GTGTTTAGCCAAGTTGTGGGGTCCGGTCCACCAGTGTTTGAAAAGTGGAGTAGGTCCACTGGGTAAAAGGAGCCTTTGGGCTATCCTCTCATTCCTGTCATGCCCCTGCAGGCCAACTTGCCTCTTCTGCAGCGTGAGCTCCTCCACTGCGCAAGGCTGGCCAAACAGAACCCTGCCCAGTACCTCGCCCAGCATGAACAGCTGCTTCTGGATGCCAGCACCACCTCACCTGTTGACTCCTCAGAGCTGCTTCTCGATGTGAACGAAAACGGGAAGAGGCGAACTCCAGACAGGTGAGAGGGAGGAGGACCCCAGACCTGCAGTATGAGGACATGTTTCATGTCATGTTTAAACTGCTGACCGACACCTCTTGCAAAATAATAGTAAGCTAGAGTGGCCATCTAGGGAATCTTGCTCTGGCCTGGGGTGTTACAGGGTGATGAGTCTCTGGCCTGTGTCAATTAGCTTTTTGTGCAGGTTAATCTTTGCTACTTGTAATTTTTTTTTTTTTAAGTTTAATTGACCTACAACACTATGATAGTTCCAGATGTGCGATCTAGTGACTTGATTTTTCTATACATTACAAATGGTCACCACCACTGCTTGCAATATTAAAGGAAAAGGTAAAGATGAATGATATTCAAATATGCCAAGTGCCACTGATGGTTGTTAGACACACAGTCAATACAGGCATACCTTGTTTTATTGCACTTTATTGTGCTTCACAGATAACTGCTTTTCTTTTTCTTTTTTTTTTGAAACAAATCGAAGGTTTGTGGCACTCTGCATGGAATTACTCTATTGGCACCATTTTTCCCATAGCATTTGCTCATTTTGTGTCTCTGTGTAATTCTGTGAGAATTTGGTAATTCTCACAATATTTCAGACTTCTTCATTATTATATTTGTTATGGTAATCTGTGGTCAGTAATCTTTAATGTTAACCATTGTAATTGTTTCGGCATTTTTTACAAATAAAGTATTTTTTAAATTAAGGTATATACATTTTTTTTAAGACATAGTGCTACTGCACACTTAAGAGACTACAGTATAGTGTAAACATAACTTTTATATGCACAGGGAAACCAAAAAAAATTGTGTGACTGGCTTTATTGTGATATTTGCTTTACTATGGTGGTCTGCAACTGAACATACATTATCTCCAAGGGTATCCCTGTATTAAAATTATCATTTACTATGTAATTCATCCCAACCACATATTTTACCCTTCAGTGTTAGGAAATTTGTTATTCTAAGTTTTCTCAAAATATGATGGTTTTGAAATCTGGCCTAAGCACAATGCAGTAGCTATTTAATTTGGGTTTTATATGAACTAAGAGAAAACTTCTGGGAAGCTAGATGGACTGAGTGAAGATAAGAGTTAAGTAATAGAACTTGTAGATGACATTTTTGCTGAAAAATTTTATCAGTCAATATTCATTCTGTCAGGTACTCTGCTCTAATAACTGAGAATTCTAAGAAATGTAAAATAAAACCCCTTCTCCATTAAACCTTACAAATTAGTTGTTGAATAAGGCATACACATGAAACTTCCAATGTACCTTACTAAAATAATTTTCCTGAATACCTCAGCCTCATATATAAATATTTTCTAATCCAGGAATATAAAGTCTTATCAGCATCTTGCATAGTATTTGTAAAATATGGAGAATCTTAAAATGAAACTATATTCGGAAACTTATTTGTCATATGCTTTGTTTCCTTTTTCTACTTATCCATTCACTCTTTGTGCATTTTATCAGGGAAGCGTAGACCAGCCTTTGAGAGGTTAACAACCTGGCACAGATTCCTAGGAGCTTATGATCCTTGGAGCTGCTCAGAGACATCTATCTGTGACCAACTTAGCTACCCTTAAATGTATAGTTGCTTTGCAAATCAGAATGTTATTAAAAGCCAGCCAGTTTACATGCAGTTATGACATAATCCTCTGTGAAGCAGTTTTTATGCTACAATCTCTGGAATTTTTCTCCTCTTGACATAGGATCTCTTAATAGTTTAAAATGCCTAAAGCAAAAGGTTAAACGTTAGCTTACTTCTGATGCACTGTAGACCCACCTCCATACATGACCTACCAACAGTGCTACTTCCTTATTTTCACAAGTTGTATTTCCATAATCATATTTAAGCATTTAGTCCTTTAGCTTTTAAAGGCAGCTGCTTAATCCAGGTGTCTGATTGGTGTGTCCACATGATACTAAAAACCAAGAAGCAGCCCAAAGATAGATGATTCACATGTGTATTCCTGTCTGATCCTAACCATTTACCCTGCAGGGAATCAGTACTACCTGCTGGTATTGAGATGTTTCAGCTCCATTTTTCCAAGATAGTGTGGTAAAGGAAATTAAGGAGAGACTAGATGGAAAATTGGGAAGAAGAACATTTATTTGGGTGGAGGAGAGGATAACAGGGAAAAGTTTAGATAGTTGTGATAAATGTAAAGGTAATCCTATAGGCAAAATTGGAAATGGACACAATCTATTCTAGAAACTCTAACTGCTAAGTAACCGTAACAGGCAGAATGAAAACTTGCTTTATTCACTTCTCTATATTCCCAGCACTTTCTCCACTGGTTCTTTCCCAGTGTTTTATATGTGAATATACTGTGACTTTAGACCTCCCTTGAACAGTGCTGAGGTAAGCCCTTGGCAATGTGCTAACATTGATATGGAAACTTCATATAAATTCCACAGAAAATCAGCATTTTTGTTTTGATGATCTGTAGCTGTGTGTGCATGCATGTTTGCATTCAGTCAGGTAGAACTTTCTTAAAAGAGCCTTCAGTGTTCTTCCTCTGGTTATCCATAGACAGTTGCTGGAGTCAGAATTCACACAGTTGCTCTTTGGGTGGAACATTCTTTTTCAAGTGGAACCCTGAAGTGTGCGTTATAATGGAAAGATGACAAATGGATTTCCTTAGAGTTAGGAGGAAGGGTAATGAGAATATGTTGTGTAAACACATTTGTATCTTGTGGGAATTTGATCAGAGCCAAGAAAATATGGGCCTCTACTATTTCTTTGCATGTATTTTCTTCATCTTGTTTGCATGTGCATTTTCCTCTTCTCTGGTTATTTATCTGTATATCCAGATCTACTATATGAAATTTTATAGAGTATGGAGCTGTTTGACAGCAGAGCTTTTTTTTGTTGTTTTACTGAATGTTTTGTTGGTGCATATGGTCTGACATGGATGAGCAGCCACGGTGAGATTTTGGAGTCTATTAAACTGGCTCATTAAAAAGATCAATCTGTTTCTGTAATAACACTGGGAACCATCAGTCACTAAAAGAGGGAAAAACTGACACCTGAGGAGAAAACACATTTTGATAATTTGTTCATGACATGTCACGAACAAAAGAGCGCTCTATATTTTGTTTACAACTTTCGGGCTTAAATTCTGTGATGATTGCTGATTTAATCTACTAAACAGTCCTCACGTATTTCAGGGATGGGTTTTGGCAAATGTAACTTCTCATCTTTAAATGTGATTGTCACTGGTTATATTTTTTCTTTTTTTAAGCATTACTTTTATTTACAGAGAAATGAATACTCTGGGGAAGTCTATGATTTTTTTTTTTTTTTCCCTGTATGGAACAGTAAAATTTATTCTACTTCTTTTTAAAAATAGATCTAGGGTGAGTCCCTGAAAAACTATACTAGATTTGTAGGTCTGTGGTAGAATAACTTAGAACCCAAATTAGAAAGAGACAATCTTCATTTAAAAATCATGCTATTTTTCTTCCTAAAATATTAGAGAAAGTTAATAGAAAGTTCTGATTTCTATTCTTTGTTCATATGTAAAAGTTTATTGTTTATCTTGCCATTTTGTGATGGGAAAAGCTGAGGAAGGGAATACAAACCTTTTTTGGAGCTGATTAAATGAAGAGACCACTTTCAAACAGAGACTAGAAGTTGACAGTCCTCTTTAAAACTGCTCACCATGATGGTCATGAAAACACAGTTTCAAATGGAGTGAGGAGGGAAAGAGCAGTTAGACAAAGGCTGCATTTTTTTGAGAGTACAAAAATAGTTAAAAATTACTATGTTTAAAAGGATACATTTTTTTTTTGTTAATTATCATTTGATGTCTTTTCTCACAGCTTTGATGTTGCAGCCTTTGTTATATTTGTCTTTAACATTGTGCTCTCACCTGTCATGCCGATTTTCTGACTCAGAATCTTCCTGGCTTAAATCAAATCGAATGATCATTGGTTTTGTATGGATAACACTGTCTCCACTGCCTTCCTCCCCATTTCAAGTGATTTATGTTAAATATTAATCCCCTTCATCTATCTATCTCTATATCTCTATATTTATATATAATCATTTTAATGTAATTATGCTTTAAATTACTCTTAGTTTAACACATCTTGGTTTTTATTATGAAGGCCACATGGTTGCATTAATATGTATTTCCTGCACCCCCAATTATTAAACATTATTTTCTAAAAAGATTTTCTTGAGCTTTAGAAGTATGTAATTTGTTAGCTGGGGGCAATCTTATAGATTTACAAGGCCAATCCTTTTTTTTTTTTTTAAACATCTTTATTGGGGTATAATTGCTTTACAATGGTGTGTTAGTTTCTGCTTTATAACAAAGTGAATCAGTTATACATATACATATGTTCCCATATGTCTTCCCTCTTGCGTCTCCCTCCCTCCCACTCTCCCTATCCCACCCCTCCAGGCTGTCACAAAGCACCGAGCTAATATCCCTGTGCCTTGCGGCTGCTTCCCCCTAGCTATCTACCTTACTACGTTTGTTAGTGTGTATATGTCCATGACTCTCTCTCGCCCTGTCAAAGCTCACCCTTCCCCCTCCCCATATCCTCAAGTCCGTTCTCCAGAGGGCCAATCCTTTATCTTGAGAAAACTAAGGATGAAAGAACTTGCTTAAAGTTACAGAGCTTCTTAGTGGAGAAATTTACCTACCTGAAATCTTCCAGTTGCACAAAATATGATTTAATGTGCAGAATGTAAACAAGGAAAGCTTAACTAAGAATTGTGTCTTTTTCCCTCCTTACTTTCCCTCATTTATTTTTTCTCTGTAATTGCTCATGTGGGCAAATGCAACAGTATAATATTCTGAGGTTTTATAAATTTTTATACTGATAGAGGATTCACAGTAAGCCAGATTTCCTGGCCTAATGAGTAAACTAGAAAACACTGAATGTTGGAGGGTCATAAGGCAGTCATTTTGAAACCGTGTTGGTTGAATGTATAAGATTTGTCAGCAAAGCACACACCAGCGGAACCTATTAAATCCATTTTCCCTT